GGTTCTGCCCACATTTCATTGAGGATTACAGTTTCAGTAGTAGTGTGAAAAGGACCTGGTCACTGGTGTTCCCTGAAGAAAGTCTAGTTAAACTGCTCTCAACCGAATTTTTCATATGTCTGTGCTGGGAATTGAACCCAGGGCCATGTGCCTGCCTACTAAACACACTCTATTACTGAGTTACACCCCAGTGCCTCTGTAGAGAATTTAGGGTGATTACGGCCATAAACAGTTTTCTTGTAAACAAGCTGATATTGTGGGCAAAAGAGAAATTGGAGCAAATATTCTTCCACTCCCCGCCTGGAGACCCATGCTATTGCTGCTAACTGTTGTGGCAGTGCCAGCTTACAGGCTGTTACCCAGGTTTGTTAACTGTAGAGGGACCTTCCTCAGGGCCCAGGACTGAGATTTCATTGCAGCCATCCGTGGTTCTAGGCTCCTAATGGGTATGATTTCAACTACTGCATTCTCATTATACTGCAGACAAAATAGCACAGGAAAGTCCCAGATATCCATGGTTGATATATTTCAGAGTTACTTTACTAACTAGTTTTGTCACTCAAGGTTTTAAGACAAATGCGGGAAGGTATTTGAAATATCAGCTGGGTAGCAGGTGGTGGAGAAGGTTGTGTGAGAGGATAGGGTATCACAGTTGGGCCCTTGGTGCCAACTTCTCCTTTGGGAATAGAGAACAGGTAAACTCCCTTGGCTGCCAGAGTTATAGTAACTAGAAGGTTGAGGGTTGAATCCTCAGGCTGGGACATGAGATGACTGGAGGCCATTGTGGGATCTCTTTTCAGGCCAGGCAGGTGGAAGTTACCTTAGCTCCTGAGTATTTATGAATTTGTCCCTTTTCCCCAAAGATAATTACACTAATACAAAGATTGACACATCGTACAAATCACTGAAATAGCTTGTTTTGTCACCTCCCCAGCTCTTGGTTGTGAGGTTGTGGTCAGGCCACACAGATTTTACACGGGTACAGCCACCGAACCATTTGCTCAGCTAACAAACGTAGGAACTCGAGCCCTTACTGATTTTGAACCATCTGTTTTCCAACATGAAATCAAGGCCTCATTGAGAGAGAGCCTGACTGCAGTGGGTGGCAAAAGCCTTCACCTAGGCTTTGAGCTATGTACCTGTAACCCTTCTGTATAAATGCCTTTATTCACTGTGCCTTTGTTTACACGAACATCAATGTGAAATTCTCTGTGGATATTTTTTAAGGGAGTAAGAGACAGTTTATTGTGGAGCCTTTTGAGTGACCATAGCTCAGGAACATAGATTTAGGTTACCCCAAATTCTATGTTCTATTGTGGAAGAAGTTCCATGAAATTTTATAGTTCCGCAGAAATAAGCCAAGTTTAAAATACATTGCTGGGTACATCAGAGGGGCAGGTACAGTGAGATGGAGAAGCTTTTCTATAGACCCAAGATGCTATCTGAAGCTTTTGGGTTGATGAAAGCTAGTGGTCAGCTAAGTTAGAGGCAAAAAAGATTTTTATTTATTAATCATGGGGTGTTGGTTCCTACACAGAGAAGGGCAAGGAATGGATATCCCAGGGACTAAAACTAGCCCAAGATAAAGAGTCACTGTTGTCCATCTGCCCCATACACTTTTAAATTAGTAAAGATAAATATTGTTTAATTTTTAAATACTGGATAGTTATACTATAGGACATTTTAGATAATAATTAAGTCAAGAAACACCAGTATTTAAGGTATAAACCATCATGGATATTGTTGGTACCAGAGATTGATATCCTTTTATAATTTACATAAGAAGAGTGAACTCAAATCTTTGGATATTTCTACTTAAAATAAATGGAATTAAAGTTTAAATTAGAAACTATTTTTTTGTTTTAGCCAAATTACACTGGATAATAAGAATATGTGTATGTGTGTGTTTATAAAGACTGGAAAATTTTGACTCTTTCAAACATTAGTTGTTGTTTGTTTTTGTTTATTGAAGCAGGGTTTCTTTTGTGTAGCCTTGGGCTGTCCTGGAACTCAAGACTAGGCTGGTCTCAAACTCACAGAGATCCGACTGCCTCTACTTTCAGAGTGCTGGGAATGAAGGTGTGTGTCACCGCCACCTAGCACAAACATTAGTTTTGCATAATGTGGGGCTTAGGGTAAGCAAATAGTCATATCAAAAAGGTGAGATGAAATGAAAGGACATAATATCTTCATATGTAATTCTCATTTGAAATATACCAGATAGAATACTAGATGTCATAGTAATTTTTAAAATCTAATCACAAAATATTTAAGAAGCATAGGCAGGTAATTGTTTAGTTTCTCAGAGTATTCTATTGTCAGTGGCATTGAAGATAAGTACATCTAGAATATTCCAAGTCCACATGAATGTGTTCTCAGATGATGTGAGTGAGTTAGGAGTGCCCAGACAGTTGTGAGCTTTATCCTCCCTGAAGTGAGTTAGGAGTAGTCATGAGCTTAAATCAGAAAGGAGTCTTTGAGATGATGTTCTTTTCTTTTAGTTGATGAAATCATCTGGGGTTTATCCTTTGAAAAAATCTCTAATTTGGAACATTAGTTTTCATAGATAAAAGTAGGGAGAATCTGAAAGCTGGAGGGGAACCATCATCAGATTAGATTGTATTACATTAATTTATATATATATACATATATATACCACTTTGAAGAAATCACTCAAATTTTATGTCACCTATTATAAAACAAGTTCAAAATTTATATGACTATATATTAGAAACTGTTTTGGAAGGAAACCCTTATCTAAATTTTTGAATTCAACATTCAAATTTATAGCTTAATGAAATCTTATAACTCTAACAAATATTGTTTTATATAAACAATTAGCATTTTAAGGTTTTTGAAACATTGAATATACTTTAAGATATTATATGTATTTTAATTGAACATGCCCAAAACTAATAATCATTTTAGCATACAACAAACATGAATTTAAAAAAAAAGGAAGTGAAGTGGCCATAGTTTGTTTAAAAAATCTTTCTGAAATAAATAACATGGAAACAAAAAGCATACAAGAACAATTATGATAGACATATGATACAATTACATAAAATTAGGTGCATTCAGTTCAGAAAAGAAAAGGGAAGAAAGTTTATCTCTATTTCTTTTAAGATGAGAGAAAGTATTATTAATACAAAGGATCAAAAGGTAAAGGTAGTCATTATAGACTTAAGATTCTCTGTCTCTAAATGACTGAGGGAGCTGTTATTTTATTGTGGCCCCAACCTACATTGTAGGAGTGAATTTGGAGGTCAAAACCTGTGCCAAGTCAAAATTAAAAGAATCAAAAGTGGGAAGCAGAAAAGGCAGTGTATGTGGTTACACTGAGAGGGGGTGGGGGCAAAGAGATCCAGTAAAGCCATCTTTAGGGTCCTGAAGTAAGATCAAAGTTTAGTTAGAGGGCCAAGGATGTGCACACACTCTAAGCAGTCTGGTCAAAGTGTGGTCGTGTCCACTGCTGTCTGATATATTTTATTTTAACTCTCATCCTGTAAGGTGGTTTGACATGTTCTTAGTACTGTATACAAGAGGTACAGTAAAGAAACCCCCCAAATGGCTGTTCAGTTGCAGGGCTCCAGTTCAATGAGGGACCCTTGTCCAGGCTATAATGCAGAGAGAAGTAGAGGATGACAGCGAGCCATTTTAATTGGATATCCCAAATGACCTCTGGATGTACGTACACAAGCACACCCGTCTGCACACTCATTTAACACACAGACGTACACACACTCACTCTAATAAAATAAGATGATGAATTTGGCAGTTCTGTTTTTTATAAGGGAGTGGGAAAAATACTATCATTCTGCTAAAGGAACACAGCAATAAAATGACTCCTGATGACATATTGCTATAACCATAGGTGAGTGCAGCTCTCACCTTCCACTAGAGAAGCTTCTTCTTGCAGTAGATGGCAGTTAATACAGAGAGCCACAAGTGGACAGCATTCAGAGAGTGAGGGACTTTAAAAGGATGCTTTTTATTCTTAATACCGCCACACCATGAAATAACTCCTACACGAGTTTCCTGGGGCCTCTGTAAGAAAGTACCATAAAGGGAGTCACTTCAGCAGCTGGACTGTCTGGAGACTGAGATCTTAGGGGTCCTGCACAACTTTGGCTCCTTCTGAGGGCTGTGAGGGAGCCTGAGCTTTGCTACTTACTCTTTGGCTTCTGGTGGCTTCCTGGTCTCAGCCTTAGCTCTGGTGCACCCTCACACCCTGTTCTTGCTGTGTGCGTGTCTGTGTCTGAATTCTGCTCTTCCAAAGCCATCAGTGATGCTGAAGATATCAGTGATGCTGAATAAGGGATTCTCCCTACTTCAGCATGCTGCATCTTTGCTAATTAAACCACAATTCATTTACAAATAAAACCACCATGTTCTTACCACCATAGATTTATATGTTTTATTTTCATTTAAATCAGGGTCTTTCTTTACTTCATGCAAAGAAAATGACCCCACAGTTATTTTCAACTAGCAACTTCCAGTATACCTCTTGAACACTCAGAGTGTTCATTTGCCCCACATAAATTCTGAACTGATACACTTTTCTGCACTGGTGTGTGTATTTGAATGCCTAGCAGTAGAGGTTAAACTCTGTTTTCTCTCCATCTCAGAAAACATTGCTTTCTCCTGTTTAAATTGCGATTTGAGTGGGATTAAGAGAGTACTGGTCAATGGTTTATACAGCACAAAGTAGAGTCAGTCTTCTAGACAAGCAAATTTAGATCTAGTATGACCAGCACAAGCCAAAAGTACAGGACATGCTATGTTTGAGAATGTCTTACTTATATATTCATTAAAAGGCAACTTAAAAACTAGGTGTTTAGTCTCAAAATTACTGCTTTTACTTCGTTGTGAGCATGGTTGAAATGAACTATTTCAGGAGATGATGGGGTAACCTAGCCACACACTTAGCTCATTAGACACCCCTAAATCGATGAGAATCATTGTTTTGTTAATTTCATCAACATGTTCATTTCTTTCAGCTCCATGTTCATGCATGTCTTTTAACCCGGAAACAAGAAGACTGTCCATAGGTCTAGACAATGGTACAATCTCAGTAAGTACAAATAAGTAAGATTTCCAGTTGAAATACTTGCCCTCTTATGGAGTGTTATGAACTGCGATAACAAGTTACCTAATAGTTTTTTCAAGTAAACAGCCATTTTCTGGCTAAGTTAGTGCATGGAGCATAGTAAGTTATGGTGAGGGGGAGGCTCTGTGTAGGGAGAGGCTCTTATGTGCTGTGGCTCAGCGCGCCCTGCTGCTTTGCTGGTTGCTAGGCTATGGGCGTTAGCAGGCCCACACTGTAGCTGTGTGTATCTGCATCAGTGAGAGGGATGGAGATCACGAACTTGATGTACTGAACTTGGACCGGCTGCGTCATCTGGGTGTTAGCAACAGACATACAAGGGAAATGCTTTCTCTTCCATCTGCACATCTCATCTTCTGTTTTGATACTCTGTGTTCTCTTGACTTTTTCTTGTTTCAACTCACTTGTAATGTGAATAAAATGCTATAAACTTGAATGGGTTTGTTAAGAAAGTACAGATCAAAATTTTAGATATAGATCCAGATAAATATTAGATCTGTTGGTTATAGGTCTTAAGAGACCTGAAGTGCTTAGGGGTTGGAAGTTTAAGTTTTAGCTTTGTCGTCTTACTTACTGACTTTTGTCTAGTATATTGACTCATAGCAAGTGTGATCTGGCCATTTCTATATTGAATAAATTATCCAAGCCAGGTGTGGTGGCACATACCTTTAATCCCAGCACTTGAAACAGAGGTAGGCAGATCTCTGAGTTCAAGGCCAACCTGGTCCACAGAACAAATTCCAGTACAGCAAGGGCTATATAGAGAAACCCTGTTTTGAAAAAAAGAAATAAAACAAAACAAAAATTATCCAGTGGCCTGGGTGAGAGAAGCTCTGCTTTGGCACTTGTGAACTAAAAGATCCTACACTAAATGCTGTGAACCTTGTAACCCTGGGTACTGGGCAAAGCCTGGAAGATGGAAGATATTGTGATTAAGCCCAGCATGGGTGACATAGCAAGATACACTAGAGAAGGGGGTGAGGAGGAGGAGAGGAGAAAATAGAAAAGATGGGGAGAAGGGGAGTGGAATGTTGGCAGAACTGGGGATGGAAAAAGAAGTACTTGCCCTGTATGCTACTTCACTGTGGTATGGAACATCAAAGAATCTAAGAACCTGTCTTTCCAGGTAGTTGAAGACTACAAGATCATATTTTACTTAATAGCTTGACTTAAAATTTATATATAATAGAATCTAAACCTCTGTCTGCAGTCTTACCTCAGCACTTGTAATTGTTGGAGGTGTGTTTGGATACTTCCTAATCTCAAAGTAGTTGTTTACCTGCCTTTAATAGTATTACTAAACCTAAATCAGCTTATCAACAATATTTATGGGACTCCTCTAATGTCCATGACTTGGTAGGATTTTCAAATTGCATTTGTAGTTCTGTAAACTGCTCCTTAGAGAAGCAGAGATTATATACTGATCCTTGTTCACTTTAAGGAGAGCCACTTTTTAAAGGAGGGGTGTGTATAGGGTAAATTTATTTTAATATTTGTTATTCTTATCTTACATGTATAAATATTTTGCTTACATATGTGTATGTTCATCACATGTGTGCCTGATACCTTCAGAGCCAGAAGAGAGCATCAAATTCCTTTATAGGAGGTTGTGAGCCAAGCTCCATGTGTTGCCCCACCAGTGTAGAGAAGAGATTTTTTTCCATCTATTTCCATACCACTGAACTGGTTTTTCTCCGCCTACAGGGTCCCACAGCCACTTAACCATTCTGAGACATAATATCAGTTACGATTATCTAGCAAATGACTTAGGCTTCATATTGGCTAGCTCTCTCTTAATTATTAACCCATCATTATTAATTTGTGTATCTTCCACATGGTCTTGTCTTATCAGAGAATGTCTGGGCGTCTTACCTCCCCAATGGCTAAATTCTGCCTGTCCACTGGTTCAACAGCTTTATTCATCAACCAATAAGAGCAACAGATATTTACAGCATATAGAAAGACATCCCCCATCATCTCCCCTTTTCTGTCGAAATAAAAAATTATATATAGCAAAAGTCATCAAGCAAGAATTATAGTTACAATATTTAGTTCATTAACATTTGGCAAAATTTAAAGAAAATATTCTATCAACTATCCTGTCTTTGTGACTCTACAGTTTTATATGTAACTTATCTTTTATCATAGCCAAGGAGAACCATGACCATAACTATCTGTCTTCAACTCTATCAAAGACCCCAGGAAGATAATATGTAAACTCTAGAACTGACAGAGGACAGTCACCCAAAGTTCCTCTGTAATGTTGGGACATCCCTCTTTAGCTTATAGGTCCAGAATGTCTGGCAGACTTTTTGATGAAGCAAGAACCTTGAAGGACCATCCTGTCCCTTAGCAAGTTCAGCAGTCACTTTTCTCTGTAGCCTGCTCATCCAATTTGCAGTGTGCTGTCAAGCAGTCCAGGCAAGAGCAGTTTCTTGTCCAAATGGCTATCCTTGTCACATTGAAACTAACTCCATAATGAATTTCACTGATGCCCATCATCTTCTCTGATGTAATTGGTTTTTCCAGGAACAAATGTGCCTCATTGTCATGAAAAACCCTAAGTTAACAAATCATTTTAAATGAATATTCTTTAGGTCTTTGAAAGGTTTGAAAAATATCTATCCATCTGAAATATGTCTCTATATGCCTAGAAAAACTAATTAAAATGATTATAAGTTTTGACTATTAAGATGACCATATATAATCTGTATTTTTAATTATACATTACCCTTTAAAATGAACTGTATAAACACAATACATAAACAAGAATAGAAAGTATACATATAATAAAACTGACCTTAAATTTGTATTGGTAAACCAAAATCCATACCAATGTTAAAATTTACTTCTATATCACACCAGTTCATCCAATTATGTATGGAACAATCGCTGTCTTTGGAAAGTATTGTATCTGTGTTACAAATGAGTGGTTCTGTGTACTTTTAAAATCAGTATAAATGGTTAATTGGCATGGACAAATGGATAGATGTAGCTGTGTGTTCTATAGAAGAGGGGAAACTATGGAATCATTAGTCCTCTTAGTAAGTGGATCTTCCTGGTAATGGGATCATCAGTCAGGGAAGGGGCTCTTCTGCTTCTCTGGCTTTTTATTACAATGTCAAGATGCTAAACTACCTTCCTCTAAAGGACTGAGGGTGTTGGCTTATGCGAGAACTTCCTTAAAAGTGCCTCCTTTGTCTCATTGAGGAAACTCAACTGCCCAGCCTACTGATTCACTTTTGAAGCCTAATAAATCTCTCATGTATTAGAGGAAGCTATATTGAGAGACCAGCATGTTTAAGGTTCTGGCTTCTCGTCTCTGTAATAATAGATTCCTTGCTTTAAAAAAATGCTTAGAATCTCACTAGTTTAGTAGTTTACTCTAGACAGAAGAAATCCATTTCTGAGACTGTGTGTCCTCTGTTCCTTGAACATCAAATGCATTTTAAGAAGAAATAATGATTAAATTATAAAACCAAGGGAAGGATAAACCCAGAAAGTAAATCCTTATTTTACTAAGCTGATCCCATTATCACTGCACAGTGGGTCAGAGATGAAGAATGAAAAACAAAGACCCTTTAACCACTGTACCCGGACTGGGCAGGAGACAAGCAGCAAGCGACGTAGGAATGCTTGAGAGACATTAGCAGAGGGAAGGCTTGGGGCAGTTCTGAAGCAGAAGGGAAAGACAGAAGCATCACTTGGTTGTGTGAGGTAGGGCAGGGAAAGCGTTTTCTTCTTTCTGCTAAAGTGATGATAGTCTGAGAGAAGTTGCAGGTGGGGAGGCTCTGTTTTCTCCTGGTCCTCTCACTCTTTGTTTTATTATAGCCCAGACGACCCCAGGCTACAAAGCTCTAACCATTGTTTAAGATGTTGTTCAGACATTATATTTTACATTTAATTTATATGTTATTTCATGCAAATTGTTTCTGAATCCCAATAATTAAAATTAATCACCTACAGTGCTTAGTAGGTTTGCTGTGTTGTTGCCTACTTCATTTTTGTTTCATTAAGTAGTTTCTAAAAAATCTGCCTCTTCTATTAAAGAATTGAGTATTAAGGATTTGACTGGTCTTTTAAAAATGTTTTATTCTTTGATAACATCATTAAATGTGTTTTGATATTATTCATCCCCCAATCCCCATTGGTCCCAGAACCTCTCCTACCTCCCTATCTATCCAGTTTCACTGCCCCCCCAATTATCATCAAGTCCAGTTTGTGTAGGCTGATTGTTCCTGGGCATGGGGCCTGCTCTGGAATGTGCTTAAGATAACAGGTATGATATCATTAAAAAAAGTGACCTTCCCTTTCCTAGCAGCAATCAAATGTCAATAGGTCCTCAGCTAGAGAGTGGGACATCATGCCACCTTCCCTCTATATATACATATGAGAATATACATATTCGTAGATGTTCATTCTATCAGTTCTGTTTCTCTAGAGGATCTTCACTAACACACCCCTTCAAATATGGCAGGAAGTATTCCTGTGGGGAGAGGGAATCTTCTTTTATATCAGGGTTCTAGTTCCTTGACATAGACTAACTATTCAACCTCAGTCCAAGGCTTGCACAATATTCACTAATCCTCAGTCCTCAATGGTTGATTTCTCTTCAAACATTTTTTTTGTTTAATTGTATGCCTTAATACCCAGCTCCCATCAAGTCTATACCATGACCTCAGTCCATCACCCTCATTCTTTTGTGACCTCTGTGCCTGTCAACATCAGAATTACTACTTACTGCTACACACACATCACACACCACACAACTCTCTCTCTCTCTCTCTCTCTCTCTCTCTCTCTCTCTCTCTCTCTCTCTCTCTCTCTCTCTCTCTCTCTCTCTCTCTGTTTTTAAGTGTGAATGTGTTTCAATTCAATTCACCACAGAGGTTAGGTACCTAGTAAGGGACCAGAGGGAGTGGGGGAATCTTCCAAGGAAAGGGAAATTGAGGATAGTGTTCTAAAAA